TAATTGATGCTATCAGCGTCCCTGATACACATAAAGGGATTACAGGAACCACAGACGTCTGATTGAAAATTAGAATGGTGTAAATTGATGCTATCAGTGTCCCTGATATACATCAAAAATTTAGAAAACCTCTTTACAATCCCTTTAACAAGAACCACAGACGTCTGATTGAAAATTGGAATGATGTAAATTGATGCTATCAGTGTCCCTGATACACATAAAAAATTTAGAAAACCTTTTTACAATCCCTTTAACAAGAACCACAGACGTCTGATTGAAAATTAGAATGGTGTAAATTGATGCTATCAGTGTCTCTGATACACATAAAAAAGTTAGAAAACCTGGAAAATTGGAATAGAACATTACAATCAAGCGCTGGGATTATATGCAGCAAACAATTCCAGAGAGAGAAGAACTTTGATTGGCCATCCTTCACCATTTATGGAGGTTGATTTTAATCTTGAATATATGTAAATAGTCTATAGAAATACTAGAAATGTACGAAAATCACATAATTCCTTTAAATATATCTCAAACTAGTAATTTCGCTCTCTTTTTTTCTTTCACTAAGAAACTATATTAAAATTCAGACCAGAAGAGACTGTATCTATGGTCGGAGCCCAGGAACAATTTTTTTACCTTTAATAGTTCTTGAGCTGTCGCTCGTTGTTCAGGATTCTTGATCAAACATTTACTGACGAAATCTATAAATTCAGGAGACCACTTGTCTGGTTTTCGGAAAGATGGCGGTGGTTTCGTGGGAATCATAAATATTGCCTGAAATTATTTCCAAAGATAGTTTAGTCTTCATCTTAACAATGTCAAGCTATCACGAACTTCATACTTATACCTTGACTACAATAGCCACCTTTCTTGTATCTTCACAATGTCAAGCTATTACAAACTTCATACTTATACCTTGACTACAATAGCCACCTTTCTTGTATCTTCACAATGTCCAGCTATCACGAACTTCATACTTATACCTTGACTGCAATATTCACCTTTCTTGTCTCTTCACAATGTCAAGCTATTACAAACTTCATACTTATACCTTGACTACAATAGCCACCTTTCTTGTATCTTCACAATGTCCAGCTATCACGAACTTCATACTTATACCTTGACTGCAATATTCACCTTTCTTGTATCTTCACTATGTCAAGCTATTACAAACTTCATACTTATACCTTGACTACAATAGCCACCTTTCTTGTATCTTCACAATGTCCAGCTATCACGAACTTCATACTTATACCTTGACTGCAATATTCACCTTTCTTGTATCTTCACAATGTCAAGCTATTACAAACTTCCTCCAATACCTTGACTACAATAGTCACCTTTCTTGTCTCTTTACAATATCAAGTTATTATGAACTTCATACTTGGTCCGTGTAGAGTTAATGAAACGAAATGAAACTGAAAGAAGACTAGAAGATATTAAATACTGACCCTCATGGGATGGATATCTCCATACGGAGGTTTACCTTCTGCCATTTCTAATGCTGTTATTCCTGTAATATAAAACAATATATATAATCTGATGTCTTAATTTAATTACACCAAACTATCCTTCGTATTATATCAGTAGCCACTACACTAAGTCAAGGGCAATAACTCCCAAACTGTTCATCCGAATAATACCAATTTCGAACTTGACCGAGATCTCATCAATATATACATGCATACCAAGTTTCATCAAGATCAGATAAAAACTGTAGTCTTTATCATGTCTACAAGAAATGTGAACAGAATGACCTTAAAGCCAGTAAAAAAGATTGGGGTCAACAAAGTACTAGTCTTTCTATCAAACATGACAGGTTTTCCCCTGTCCATTTTGATGCAGAATGCTTCCATCTTTAACATGCACAGTCAGGTCTTGTTTTATTGTCTGATCTGAATGAGATTTTGATAGCCTATTACATCTTTAACATGAACAGTCAGGTCTTGTTTTATTCTCTGATCTGAATGAGTTTTGATAGCCTATTCCATCTTTAACATGCAGTCAGGTCTTGTTTTATTGTCTGATCTGAACGAGATTTATACTTACCTAGACTCCAAATATCTGCTACACAATCATATCCTATTTCTTGTATAACTTCTGGTGCCATCCAATAGGGGGTTCCAATCACTGTATTACGCTTGGCCATAGTGTCCTACAATATTAAATAGAATTAACTCTATAAAGAGGTTTCTTATGTATATCAGGGACACTGATAGCATCAATTTGTACCATTCCAATTTTCAATCAGACATCTGTGGTTCTTGTTAAAGAGATTGTAAAAAGGTTTTCTTAATTTCTTATGTGTATCAGGGACACTGATAGCATCAGACGTCTGTGGTTCCTGCAATTCCACTAAAACTAAGTGTTTGATGATGTCACTAATCACAAAATATGCTTTATCACATAAGGCCTTTCGTAGCCTAATAAAAATTAGACCAAACTTTTGTTCCGTTTTTATATTAGCTTCTATTTTTAATATAGCCACTTCAGTTAGGGTCTAAAGACAGCCCTCTTGAACGTTAGACATATTGACCTTTTGACTTAACTGGATGACTTCACATAAGGCCCTTCACGATTAGTGATGTCATCAAACACTTAGTTTTTGTAGAATTGCAGGAATCACAGACATCTGATTGAAAATTAGAATGATGTAAATTGATGCTATCAGTGTCCCTGATACACATAAAATTTTAAGAAAACTTCTTTACAATCTCTTTAAAGCTATTGTAAGCAAGTGTTCTGAACGGACGTCTAATAATGAAATGGGTTTTTGTACAAAAATCACATAATTCCTTCAAATATACCTCAAATTTCACTTTCTATTTCTATAGATGTCTTTTCTATATATGACAGTGTCTCAAGAAAAGACGAGTCATCATTTTAACATTCCTATTTGAAAGCTCAAATATCGACTGTGAGCTGTGAACACTATTACTGATTAGTTTAGCTCAAACATTAAGGGCCATATGCAGCGCTCGTACTTTACCTAAACTTTGACTAAAGTTAGACTTAAGTCGAACTTTAGGTATGCACCAGTCGATCTTTACGAAAGTCGTGCTTAAATTTGACTATCAAATGTAGAAAATGAAAGCCTTAATCCTAACTTTGTTAAGTTCGACTTTAGCCAAAGTTCAACTTTAGTCAAGGTATAAGAGCGCTGCATACGACCCTAACTGTTTGTGATTAACACCTGGGTATTCTATGTTGAAAGTGAAACAGGAGATATTACTTACAGTCAGTTGACCAGCCACACCAAAATCAGCTAACTTAGCATGCCCATCAGAATTGAGTAGAATATTACCAGCTTTAATATCTCTGTGTATTTTACGTCGGGAATGGAGATAATCTAATCCTTTCAACGTGTAAGATAAAACAGTGGCAATCTCAGTCTCGTTCAGCTGAAAAAGGGAATAATAGTGCAAGTAAAATAGTGAAAAAACACAATGAAGTGTATTTTTATGTGCCCTTCACATTTTAGGATTGTACGTAGATTTTTTTGCGTTCATTGGTTGATGAACGCAGAATTTTCATGTGTTAATTTGAATGAACGCAAAAAAATCTACATTTAATCCTTATATTTACATTGGGTAGTGTTCGGAATCTATCACCGTACTTGTAAAGATAAAAATATTGCCATCATTATTGTCAGAAAAGTGGGAAAAAACAGCAACATAACTCCTGTCAATTAACTTTAAGCCCCGCCCCTTTGTTGTTAGGTTGACGTATGAATACACATTAACACAAATAAAATAGTCCAAGGTCTTTTTTAACAAATGAATGAAAAACATTAGAAAGTTCTTCAATAAAAGAAACAAATAAGTTAGTTATTCAACACGGACTCTGAAACCGAGATTTGTTCCATAGTCATGTTTATTTTTAGTTAAAAGTTTTTGTGTATTCATACGCCACATCCCGTGTTGTTATAGGAGATGATGTCATGATGATGTCGTCAGTGATTACTAAGGAAATGTGTCCACAAGTCCATATTGTTTAGTTCTTCCATTAGAATTTTGTTAACAAAGATACTTGTTGTCAAGGTATTAGACAGAGTTTGTAAGAGCTAGACATTGTGAAGATGGTTTTACTCATAGAGAGAAAAAAAACTCCAAGAACTTACAGTTTTATTCCTGATTCTCATGATGTCTGAGAGTGAACCGGCACCACAATATTCCATTACAATCTAAAAATAGAAAACAATATCAAACATTATATTTTCACAGACGCGAAGTTATTCCAAGATTATCAGTATTGTCTAGAAGCGGATATTCCAATTTAAATTTGATTTACAAACAAAATTCATTCTAAGATAAAGATAGAGGACCACGGCTTGCGGATGGTAAATATTCAAGATTTTGGGGCAAGGGCAATAACTCTGCTTCTAGCGGTCGAAAATAGCTCAAATTCGAAATTGATCTTCGTTTTATGAATATGTTTACACATACCGAATTTCATTTGATTCCATCAAAAAATCTAGTTTTTAGAGCGTTTACAAGCAAATGTTGACAATGGTGCCGACAATATACGTCCACATAGAGAGATGTATACTAGTTGTATAAAGGCTTGCTAGTAATTTTTGTTGAAACCTCTAGAATAAGTTGGAGATTTCTCTACAATTAGGTGCTGATTTTGGTGAAATCAGTAGAGTTTTCCAAAACAAACCAAAATACATAGTGACTGTAAAGGGTTTAGAAGGGCCTTTTAAAAAATGAAATGAAATGGAGTTTTACATCCTACTTTTCTGCACCATGTGGGCTAATGAAGAAGGGCAACGCCATGCAGGGTACATTTTGCCAGGACAGCAGCATTAGCCTGCTCTTTTTTTCAATTTCTAACTGTCGAGGGATCTTTAACCTGCACAGCCTGTAGCATGAGGGTCCTATCTGAACGACTAGACGCTTTTTCAGCCTCTCTTATGCTGGGATTGAACTCTCGACCATCAGGTTAGCGAGCAAGTGTCTAACTCACTGAGCCACTGCGGCGCCCGTAGGGCCTTTTAAAATCAAAACCTGAGAAGCAATAAAACTGAATCTTACCCATAAGTCTGTGTTCTTGAAATAACTGCCGTAATATTTGACAATAAAGGGACTATCACACTGTTGCATGATGGATATTTCTTTGATAATTTCCTGTAAATCTGTATCGATAGGCACCATCTTTATAGCTAGGTACTGATCGCCATCCACATCATCTTCATTTTCATTAGAGTTATCTCCCTTATCCCCATCTTTATAACGGGCTTTAAAAACACTGCCATATGACCTTTAGTCCAAAGAAAATTCACATCTCATGTTTTGTATTAAGAATTATTAAGTTAAAAGAACACTACCACTTAGAATGGACATAAAATTTAAAGTCACAAACTTGGTCAATAAGTGTATATATTCATCAGTGGACTGGTGTCATAATTATACAACAGAATCTCTCTTTATGATGATAAACTAAGTAATTATTTTACAAGAAGTTTTATTGATAATTACTTAGTTTTATGAGTGATTACTTAGTTTTATGAATTATTACTTAGTTTAATGAATTATTACTTAGTTTAATGAATTATTACTTAGTTTTATGAATTAGTACTTAGTTTAATGAATTATTACTTAGTTTAATGAATTATTACTTAGTTTAATGGATTATTACTTAGTTTTATGAATTATTAATTAGTTTAATGAATTATTACTTAGTTTTATGAATTATTACTTAGTTTTATGAATTATTACTTAGTTTAATGAATTATTACTTAGTTTAATGAAATATTACTTAGTTTTATGAATTATTACTTAGTTTTAGTTTAATGAATTATTACTTAGTTTAATGAATTATTACTTAGTTTAATGGATTATTACTTAGTTTAATAAATTATTACTTAGTTTTATGAATTATTACTTAGTTTAATGAATTATTACTTAGTTTAATGAATTATTACTAAGTTTTATGAATTATTAATTAGTTTAATGAATTATTACTTAGGTTTATGGATTTATTGGATTATAGATAGAGTTATGATACAAGGTAAGTCCAACTGATGAATATATAGACTTATTGACCAAGTTTGAAATCTAAGAGTTAATATTCCTTTAAGATTAGACAATCTAACAACTTTTGCAACAAAGGTTAGTCCCAACCAATCAATTTGTGTTATGTAAAACCTGTTTCTTGATGAAATAAAGCATTGTGGGATATCAAAACCTAAAGTAGAGCTATCTCATTGGTTTTTCTATCCCACAATTCCTTATTTCCTTAACATAACGAAATTTGATTGGTTAAAAATGCTACCTTTGGGACTAACCTTTAGTAGAAAGTTTGTTAGATTACAATGTAGATTAAAATATATCAGAAAATTAAATTTATCAGATTGACATTGACAAAATTTCAATGAATATTTAAAATGTATAGTCTTGACATTTATGTAAAAATTTCATATTTCAAAGAATTATTGATTAGATATTGATGAACATTCATTATTATGTTCTTTGGTGTACTTGCATACAATTTTTTCCAAAAAAAAAAGCATTAGAAATTCAAAATAAGAAAAGCGTGCCCATGCCATGCTATCTATTGAAGGTTGAAAAATGAAAGAAAGCTTGCGAAACAAACCCATAAATTAACCTACATATTTTCTTGCTTTGAATCTGAATATTTTAAAGACTCAATGTTGAGTGAATTAAAGGGATTGTTAAAAGGTTTTCTAAATTTTTTACGTGTTTCAGGGACACTGATAGCATAGATTTACACCATTCTAATTTTCAATCAGATGTGGGCGAGTCTCACAATCCATTCAAACATGGCCTTTACTGACGTCTCTAAGGCAACATCACTTAAATACTTTTGTCACTTAAGCGTTAAATAAATGCAGGAACCACAGACGTCGTCGGACTGAAAACTTGAGGGGTACAAATTGTTGCTATCAGTGTCCCTGATACATGTAAAAGATTTAAAAAACACTCGGAAAAGTTTTTTTCAGATTGGGTCACAAGTTCATTTTGGTACGTACCCCTCACCAAGCTTTTGGAGAATATCAAAAACTTCTTCAGGGGGACGGGTCAAATTTTCTTCTGTTAACCTCTTCAATTTACCAGTACTTATACTAGAGTCAAAACAAGAAAGAAAGCATGCAATATCTACCAGGCAACAGACGGAAGATTAATTCACTGCAGTTTATGTTCAAGTGGAAATCTTAGCTAATTTACCAAAAGGTCATTTCACAATGTCAAGCTTCTACGAACTTGATAGTAAAGTAAGCTAGTAAATACAGCTAGTAAATACAGCTAGTAAATACAGCCAATCAGAGACCCCGACAGAAAATCTGTAAACTGTAAGTCATAATATATACAGTCTTTCTGTCAAGGGCTCTCATTGGTTGTATTTGCTAGCTTACAATCCAATCAAATCCCTGCATTCCGTGAAAGAAGAAAAGTGGCTATTGCAGTCAAAGTATAAGACAAATGTATCAAGCAAATGATGTCAGGTAATGCTTCCAGACATGAAAACTTGAAAAGTCATTTTTGAAAACTTGGTCATGTAAAATATAGTCTGGTCTAGGATTTGGAACTGCAATGAATTTGAGAGCAAAATTCAGCAAAATTAAAGAATTGTCATTGTTAATCAAAACACTTTCTTTAGCTAGAATTCAGTTCTTTTAGCAGAATTAAAGGGATGTCTCCCGTAACGGGCATTCAGGGTGTTAAATCGAGCTCTACAAGCAAAATGCAATCTCATTCTACAATCAATTATTCCGTTTCAAAGCCTGTTGCAAACTAGGGTTATCTGCAGAGAAAAATTATTTAAGTGTTGGCTGAGTTGATAGCTTGCTATGTGTGGCTAATTTTTTACCTCAAGCAGATAATGGACGAGGTATGACGTCTGGTGGGAGGTAATCAATACAGGAGAAAACACAAATAGTCAATATTAGGGCCGCAATGATTCTTGAAGTTGCGATTCAATAAACTATACGATACTCATCCAACGATACGATTTATTACGATAATTATCATCATTCATTTATTAGAGAAGAAAAGAGAAAAAATAGTAGAAAATTGTAAAATTACTAACAAGTTTGTCACGATTAAACACTTGAGATCATTTAAAAGTAAGAAATGAATTTTTGCAAATTTTGATGTGAAATTCATACTTGGAAAATGAAAACATGACACAATTACTTATACACACAAGAATTCTATGTTATTTGTTATTAATGGGGGCTACGAATTAATCGTGCTGATAAATCACGTTTATTTTCATCCAACGCAATGCATCGATAAGAAGGAAAGAATTGCGGTTAATCGGTTCATTATTGCAGCCCTAGTGAATAAGCTACGCGATTTCGATTCTAGTTTCTTCTGTATAGACAATCTCCCACTGGACATGACACCAGACCTCGTCTAATGTATAAGCACACACAGAAATGAAATGAAATGAATGGAGTTTTACATCCTACTTTTCTGCACCATGTGGGCTAATGAAGACGGGCAATGCCATGCATTGGCCTGCTCTTTTTGGATTTCCAACTATCAAGGGATCTTTAACGTGCACAGTCTGTAGCACGTTGTCCCATCCGAGCGACTAGACGCTTTTTCCATGTCAGCCCCTCTTACCTGCATCACTGACAGGGGGAAACAGGGTTGAAAAATCCGACCTATGCTGGGATTGAACCCTCGACCTTCCGGTTAGCGAGCATGCGTCTAAATCACTGAGCCACCGTGGCTCCCTAAGCACACACAGAGAGAGCTATCATATCAGTGAAAAAACATTCATAAACTACATTAATCTCAGCAGATAACTCTGGTTTCAGGCAGGCTTAAGAGCAGAAAGGAAATTCCTCTAAATTTCAATAAGAGAAAGTCTAGTAGCTATAGGACAAGTGACTCAGATCGTGTGAAATTAATTCTTAAAGGGATTGTAAAGAGATTTTCTGAACTTTTGATGTATATCGTGGACAATGACAGCATCAATTTGCATCATTCTGATTTTCAGTTAGATGCCTTGAGTCTGTAATTCTACGTAAATTAAGCATTTTAAGACATAGCTCTTGCAAAAGCTGTTAGATATCATTAGTTCTAAGCTTTCAGGATATATTGGCGTCATATTGTTAATCTATAATTACAGGAACCACAGACATCTGGTTGACAATTGAAATGATGCAAATTGATACAATCAGTGTCCCCAATCATGATCCCCTTGATGTTCTGTCAATGATAATAAAATATGGGCAATGTGGAGCAAATAGTTTCAATGTATGTAAAAAACATAAAAAAAGAAGGCTTCCAATGGCACAAATGTAAACAAATCCATTTATCTGTTCATGAAAGACTTCTGCTTGAATAGTTTTGAACGAAGGACTGCTTACTTATAGCGATGTTCCTGTTGTCGGCGACAATCAATTATTGGTTGTCGTCCAGCGATGTTACTAATCGATTCTCAACTCAAAGTCAGTGATGTCGGCAAACCATATAAAAAGTCAGTCATGTTGTTTTTTGTTGATAATATAAAATTTCTGATAATCAATTCAACTTATTTGATTAGGTGACTAAAACTATGAGATCCTGATAATTTCCCACACCTTTGATTAATTTTTCTCCAGGACGAGTCTTAGATTCAGCACAGAAACAAATGAGGCATGATTTATAAAGCCTTAAATAAGTACATGTTCATTAAATGGGGCGTGTTTCGATTATTAATCGATTACATAATCAATTATGCCTCTCCGATTATTTCGATTAATTGATCATTATTTACATTTGACTGCCCATCACTCCTTACTTATAACTCTGGTGTACTCTTTATTAGAAATCAATCAATTAGTACTCGCCAAGGAGATTTTTTCTTGTTTTGGAAAATAGTCAACTTCCATGAGCAAAACGCCATTACACTTATACAAACTTTTTGTGCGGGACTGTCATGTAATGGCGTTTTGCTCATGGAAATGAAACGAATGGAGTTTACGTCCTACTTTTCTGCACCATGTGGGCTAATGAAGACGGGCAACGCCATGCAGGGTGCAATGAGGGAAATTTTGCCAGGACAGCGGCATTAGCCTGCTCTTTTTCGATTTCCAACTGTTGAGGGATCTTTAACGTGCACAGTCTGTAGCACACGGGACCTCGGTTTATTGTCCCATCCAAACGACTAGATGCTTTTTCCATGTCAGCCCCTCTTACCTGTATCACTGACAGGGGGAAACCGGGTTGAAAAATCTGAAGGTATTATCTCGACCTATGCCGGGATTGAACCCTGGATCTTCAGGTTAGCGAGCAAGCGTCTAACTCACTGAGCCACCGTGACTCCTGTTTTGCTCATGGAAGTCAAGTACTAGTTGATTAATGATATTTTAAACATTGACTGCTATTTTCTCCACATTGCCCTATTTTATTAATACTGAAGATGAAGTTCAAGGACCTGTGTCTCAACACACATAAAAACAAGTTAGAAAATCTCTTTACAATCTGTTTAAAAATGAAGGTGAAATAATACTCTATAATATAACAAGAAATCCAAACGAGGAATGTCCTTTCTGAAGATTTCCTCTCTACAAAAATGGTTGAAAAGTGTTTCTAAAATTCCCCAAATAAAAAGGTTTGAAAACAAAGCAGCAGACACAAGGCAGAGTTTGGTATTTTTCTTACCCTCGACCTATTTTACATATTATATCAAAGACTTCATCAGGTTGGCGTGACAAATGGTCATCACTTAATTTCTTGACACTAGACACACTGCTCCAACAGAGAAAAACAATAAACTTACGTATCATTGAGAGAGTATAGACTCAGTTTTCCTAGCTACCTTAAAGATATACTATGTCTAAGAATTAACATAGAATTTAAGAATTTTAAACTTGGTCAATAAGAGGATATATTCATCAGTAGATATACCTGGTGTCATAAATAACATAACAGGATCCTTATATAATCCCATAAAACAAAAAAACTTAGTAAGTATCCATAAATATGCAATTTACTATTGAAAAACGCTTAGTTTTATGAATTTTACAGGGATTCTGTTGTAACTTTATGACACCAGGTAAGCTAACTGATGAATATAGACTAATATTGACCTTTTCCAGAACTTAAATTTGATATTCATTCTAAGACGTAGTATCACTTTAAATTGTGGTTCACTCAGTCTCTGCTGTGTGTAATGTCAAATGGAACAATCAGAGGGCAGAGATTTGCTCCACTAGAAAAAGGCTTGTACCCACAATTTGTACCTCCATTTCTTTTCTAACAAATCGAACAAGTGGTTGTCTAGCAAGATACGCCCACTTTCCTGATACATTTTCAGTATATCAAGGGCAGTCATCTATCTGTGTCAAATCATACCAAAAATTTGTGCAATATATTGTTGATTTAAACAAACACACATTATTTAATAAAATTCTGACATAAACTGTCACCTCTATCGAGTTAACAAGTCAACAAATTTTATGTGTTTTTACTAAGTCAAGGGCAATAACTCAAAGCTTTTAATCGAAAAATTGTCAATTTCAATCTTGACTAAGATCTCATCATTATAAATATTCACACCAAATGTCATTTAAATCGGATGAAAACTGTTGTGTCAATTTTAGAATAATAGTCCAAATCTAAGATTTTCTTATTTATTTTCAAGAACAAGGGCAATAACTCATATAATCTAGTTATCAATTCATGGAGGATAAGAAACAATTTCATCACAATTCATTGACAGCTGTGAAATCTAGAGTGTTTACAAGCTAAAAATTAAACAAGTTTGCATGAAATACTAAATATTTTGCGTTTTTTTTTTATTTTCAATAGGGTTCATCCTTGGTTGATTACGAACACTCACATCAAGTTTCATCAAAATCCGCCAAGAATTGCGCCTTCTAGGGTATTTAAGGACGGACAGACAGACATGGGTAACGCCAATATACGCCCCCGATAACAAACAGTAACAAACCTGAACAGATTAACCAAATCGGTAACACAAATTTATTCATATACTGATCATGAACTATCTTCATTATAAAGGAGTTCTGATTAGGAATTTTTTCTATTTCCCTATTTGGTACGGTTAATAAAGAAACTGATACGTCAATGTCAATGTTAGTCAAACAGATG